GTCCCAAAGGTGCTTTTTTTCCCCCCCTCCCAAGAGGCAACTGGACTTTCTATTTTTTTTCCCCCTTGAAGATGTTTTGCTTCTCATTCGAGACGCTTCCTCAGTTCCGACAGATGGGTGGAGAATGGAATATAAATCCTTCCGTTCTCCATCCTTCAGTCAAAGCTGAAAAAGCTTCTTGGGGGAGAAGGAAACCGTCTTCAAGGGGAAAACAAAAGTCCAGTTGGCTCTTGAGGAGGGGAAAAAGGGTATTTATGGGTGCTCCTCTAAATATCTGTATCTCAGGCGATTCCCTTTTAACGTAAAGACGTGATCGGAAGCCAAACCAGCTTTTAATGCTAGCTGGCTGGGGGAATTCTGGGAGTAGAAGTCCATCCAAGGTTGAGAAACACCTAGTGATGTGTTTTGCCTGTTGGCTGTACACCACAGGTGGTATCCTTTCAGATTACAGATTAACAAGAGTTGGAAGGGACCCTGTAGGTCATCTAGCCCAACCCCCTGCCCAAGCAGGAGACCCTATACCATTTCTGACAAAAGGCAGTCCCGTCTCTTCTTGAAAGCCTGCAGTGATGAACTTCTGAATACAACTTCTGTTCCATCGGTTGATTGCTTTCACTTCCATGAATTTCTTATTTCCAGTTTGAATCTCTCCTTGTTCAGTTTCCATCCATTATTATTCCTTGTCTGGCCTTCAGGTACTTTGGAAAATAGCTTGACCCCCTCCTCTCTGTGGCAGCCCCTTAAATATTGGAAGACTGCTACCCTGCCTCCCCTGGTCCTTCTCTTCTTTTAATTAAACTAGACAAACCCAGTTCCTGCAACTGTTCTTCCTATGTTTTAGCCTCCAGTCCCCTAATCGTTCTGTTTGCTCTTCTCTGCACTCTTTCTAGAGTCTCAACATCTTTTTTATAGTGTGGTGACCAAAACTGGATGCAGTACTCTAGGTGTAACCTTACTAAGGCTTTACAGAGTCGTATTAGTATCTCCCTTGATCTTGATTGTATCCCACTCTTAATGCAATTTAGGATTGCATTGGCTTTTTTGGCTGCCGCTGCACACTGCTTTCATCGGGACAAGTTTTTATCAAAAGTTTTTAAGTAAGGATGTGCTGGGATGAGGCTTGCCTTATTTCCCAGCAAGCTAGCATTAATTTCCTATTACTTTTGTTTCTATTTAATTATTTCTCAAATTTACCTGGCTGCCCATCTCCCCCGAAGTGAGTCTGGACAGCGCAGGATAAATCCCCTTCCAGCAACACTCACTCCAGAGGCTTTCAACATTCAAACGAAGAAGTAAATAAATAAATACCGATTTTCCTTGCAGACATGGATGAAAATATGGATTTTTCAGCTCTAATAAAGGTGATTTTAGGCTGTTTGGGAAAGAAAGGTGCTGGGCTTTGTGGACAAGACTGCCCCCTAACGCCAGAATGAAGTATTACATGCCTGAACTTGGAGCAAAAGAAGGTTTTGGAACATTTTTTTGCTAAAATTAGCTGCAGGCCGTGCTATATTTACACACAAACCAGAAGCCAGAAAAAGACCAGCCATATGACAGGAAGGGAGAAGAGAAA